TTTATTGTGGTGTCAGGGGACACCACAGGACTCTACTAGGAATGGACTTCACTATGTCAGCAGAGGCTGGTGACCTTAGCCATCCTTTTCCTTGAAACAGGTGCCACCCACTCATTCTCTTCCACCTCCCTGCAAACACTGTCTCTTTCCCAGCATAGAACCATCAGTCCACTGGCTCAAAAGTCTGCTGTAAGGATAACAGTTATCCTTTGTGATCGTGTAACTCAAAAGGCACAGCAATTCACTCAGAAATTATTTTATTAAACCAGGCTATATAAGGCCATCCCCATGCATGTACATGATATACTTCAAGCATCGTCTGCACTTCCCTCTTCACTCCCCCTCTCCCATTTATCTGCTTTGTTCCCCAGACTCTTACTTCTGCTTTTCTGTCACCTGCACATATGTGATTTTTCTGTACCTCTATATAAAGTCTAGGACCCACAAATTAGGGAAAGCATGCAATATTTGACTTTCTGGGACTAGATTTCTTCATTTAACATGATACTCTCTACTAGCATCTATTTTCCTTCAAATGTTTTATTCATTCTTCTCTATGACTGAAAAATATTCATATTCTCTCTCTCTCTCTCTCTCTCTCTCTCTCTCTCTCGCGTGTGTGTGTGTGTGTGTGTGTGTGTGTGTGTGTGTGTGTGTGTGTGTGTGTTATAATGTATATGCCATGTGACTGTGTCACAGCACACACATGAGGTCAGAGGACAGTCTTTGGGTGCCTTCTCTCTGATTCCACCTCATAGGTCCTGGGAATCTAATTTAACTTGTCAGGCTTGGCAACAGGTTTTTGTTGTTTGTCTATTTGTTTTTTCCCACTAACCCATCTAACCCAGGCCTATATCACATTGTTTTTAAAAATCTATTTCTCTGTTGAAGGATCGTTTCCATATCTTGGCTGTTGTGGCTAGCCTGCAATAAACAATGATGTGTAGCTACCTGCTATTCTTATCACTGTGGATCTGGGACACACAATACACTCAGGGGCACATGCCATTCTGTCCCTCTCAACCTCTGGTTTTCTCTTCTCTTACTTCCTCTACCTCATCTATATCCTGTAATTTAACATAAACACCAGCTATCAAGCCATACTGCAGAGGAGGCCATCTCTAGAGCATTCTGGAAGGGGAATTATGTCTCCAAAGCACTTGACACCTGATAGCAACCCATATTGTCACAGGCATTAGCTGAACGGCACACTTCAGCTCCTGGCAGCTCAGCTTCCCTTAATGGGAGAAAACATCTCTATGTAAGCCTGGTAACATGGAAACAAGAGGGCTAAGCCTCACTAAAGCTTCCATGCTTGTTCATGAGGGCAGAGTGTACTAAGAGGTTTTCTGCTCTGGGAGGCAAGAGGGCCAGAGTCTTGTTGAGATAGGCAGTTAGAGCTGAGATTGACCCGAGTCTCTGAGAGTGGGGACTCCCAGGACAATTGCTCGTGTGCAGCCAAGGAGTCTCCCACTCACTGAGCGAGCTGCTTGTCAGATTCTCCAACACACAGCCGGCTCCACGTCTCCCTCCCCACAGCTCCTTCTCCCACGAGGGACATAAAGAGGGAATTAGATTTTCAGACCACCTTTCCATAAAACAAAGGATGATGAGACAGAGAGAATTGATGTGAAGATTGCTCTGCTATTTTGGACATAACAAAACCGAACATAAAAACCATGGCATAACATCTTCGATGCTGTCTTTCTCATACTCGCAAATGCTAATACATGATAAAAATATATCAAGATTTGGTTAAAAGGCCAGCAGTGGAGAATGTGAAGCCCCTGGGGAAACGAGTCTATTCCACAGCCCCTTTCAGGTGGTGCTCTGGGAATGTATTTGGTTTGAACCTGAACAATGCAGTCTCCCCTGTTCTACAATCTAGGACACCCCGCATGCATTAGCACTTGGACTCAGGCTTGAATTGCAAATTTGATTTTTGTTGTTCATATTAAGAAAGCCACTCCAGATGCCTGGGAAACATTAAGGTTTGGCCAGCTAGGGAACAGAAATATTGTCATTATACCTATCTGTGTCTTGAAGATTCAGGAAGCATTCTGTCCCCATGGCGGTCGTGACTGAATTTTAAAAATAGAGAAGCTAAGGCATGGTGAGTGCTGACTCTGGGTCCCACGTGCAAAATTGTGTGTTTGCACATTATCTCCTATGAACTCACCCTCACAGTAACTCTGTGAGCTAACGCTACTAACCCATTTGGGAACTCATGAAACTGAACTTGGGACAATTTATAGACATTTCTCCAAATTTGTCCTTTAAGTGTCAGCTGAGAGCTGCCGGGGACTCAGAAGCAAGCAGAACAGAAACCTTCAGTGTGGTCCTTTAGGCACCACAGCCATCCATGACTGAGTGCTGTACACCATTTTAATGCATGGGTTGGGGAGCGGGTGTCTTGAGACATCCTTCTCGCTCCAGTGCCTCGCTTTTACTTCAACAATGCTGGACTCTTGTGTTTCACCTACTTAACCCCTTAGAGGTGAGTGGGTTCCCAAGCAGAACTATTGGCCTTTGGCACCTTGGCCACCTCTGTTTTATAGGGGGACAAGTAGAAAGTCATCCATTACATGACCTAGAACAGAATTGTGGGCCTGTAAGTTCTAAACTGCCATCAGATTTGTTTTTTAAGACTTGTTCTATAGGCTGGGCGTTGGTGGCGCATGCCTTTAATCCCAGCACTCAGGAGGCGGAGGCAGGAGGATCTCTGTGAGTTCGAGACCACCCTGGTCTACAAGAGCTAGTTCCAGGACAGCCTCCAAAGCCACAGAGAAACCCTGTCTTGAAAAACCAAAAAAAAAAAAAAAAAAAAGACATGTTCTCATTTTCTGAAGCATAATGTCCCTTCAAGAGGTGCCCGGGCACCTTAACATCCATTCAGGAAGTGCCCGGGCCTCATCTCCGTTAGGCCTTTCAGCTGTGACACTTGAGCGACATACATTTGCGCACCTGTCACAACGATGATCCCATCATGGTTTCCTGGTTTGTTCCATAAATAACGTTGTTTCCTAGCAGAGTTCCCCTCACATGATGGATTGAAGCATCATTTTCTTTGAAGTCAAGTTCTAGTGTGTTCCAGTTAGGTCCTTGTTTTCAGCTGTTCAAGAGCCTCAACTGAGTGATTATGACAGGCTCTGGTTTTTATTAAAACTAAGATTTGGGGAAAGGGATTAAATAGGAGTTTGGCTCAGAGTCCCCTTTGACGCTGCTTACTCTCAAAGAATGGAGTTCCCTGCTTCCAAGAAAGCATGTACTCCTTAAGACTCACATCAGCAGATGGGTGTTACAACCCGAGGGGCTCCTCTGGAGCCCTGCCAACTACACAGCATGCAGCTCAGAGGGAATCTGACACCTCTCACTTATAGGGTCTCTAAAATATAGTGTCTCTGCCAAGAACGGGGTAAGTAGGTAGAAGAACTGGACTCCACCCTGCACCACTTATGCAACCCAGTGGGAAATTTACAAAGGGAAAACCTTCACCCACACAACAGGTATTTCGCCAGCTCCCACTCTGGGACAAACACTCTTTGACCAGAGCCACATGAATATCCCTTTCTGGCAGAAAGAAAGGTCACAAAGACATAAACTGGGTATAAAACTAATAAACTCATAGAGTTAGCAAGAGTTATCACTCTTTGGAGCAAGAGATCGTTCCATCCATTACCAGGAATGAAGATTCTCAATCAGAAACTCCTTATGGCGACCAGGCTGGCTTCTACTGTCATTCAAAACTCACTTGTCACATCTCTGACTAGACAATAGGATTTTTCACTCATTTTGCAGCTACTTATTAACTATTGCTGAGAACCTGACCACTGCAGATACCCAAGAAACAAGTCATCCACGATCCCTAACTTTTTGGCACAAATTATGATAAAGTCTATAATGGGGATAAGAGAACTAACCAGGAAAGGGAGGGAATAGGGGGTGCTAACCAAGGAAAGGGGAATGGTTAGGGAGTACTGACCAGAGAAAGGGGAGGAGAGGGGGAGATTTTTCCAAGCAAAGAAAACATTGCTTTGCCTGGAGACAGAAGGAAGCTTGACATAGTTAGGGAACTTACAGAGGCTGAAGAAGCCTGGGGTGCAGCTTGATGGGCAGTGCTTGCCTAGCATGGGCAAGGCCCCCTGGGTTTGATCCCTACTACACACACACACACACACACACACACACACACACACACACAAGCAAATTTTAAAAAGAGTTTTAGGAGAATTGATAGAAGATGTACATACACTGGATAAGGATAGCGAGGATGGAGAAGGACAGGATAGGAGGAAGATGCAAAGATGACAGTTGACATTTTAGTCTGATTACTTCAGGCTTGTAAGCAGGAACCACTTGACAATGTATCTTTTTGAAGAAGGTGACAGTAAATAGAGTAGAGACGAGAGAGCTAAACAATGAATAGAGGAACAGTTAAGGGAGAGAGTGGGTCAACTAGAGATGGTCCCCTGGTCTGGGGCAGTGATGATATGGATAGACATGAGATGAGCATATCAGTGTATGATGCTCACATTTCTGTCCTAGGTAACTGAGATGGTGAACAAATGAGCATTGTATTGAATTCTAGGCGCTCCTAAACTGTGTCTGAGAAAGTTGGCATTAGTGGGGCTCTGCAGAGAGGGAGCTGGCTACACTGTTTGTGACCATCAGCCTAGGGAAGATGGTCAAGGATCTTGGAGTAGAGGGAGATGCCCAGGAAATCATATAAACGAACAGAAGAAAAAACGTTTAAGAAGAAACCTGGAAGAATCCCATCATTTACAACAAAGAATACATGATAGTGAGGAAGAGGAACTCTCACCAAGTGTGGACTCACAGAAGAGGATGGAAACACACCAAGCATCAGATGGCGCTGCAAATGAGATAAATCAAGAGATAGGTTCAAGTCTTGGGCTATGTTTAATATTAATCCTCATTGCCTGCTATTTGGTAATGTGTTAAATCCATATTCATAAGAAATTTTTGCTGCTCTGGTCACTATGGCAAGAGAATGGAACCAACCTAGTTGTCCATCAACCTACAAGTGGGTAATGAAACTCTGCTGCATACATAAAATGGAATACTGTCTAGCTCTAAAGAAAAAATGAACCACAAAGGGAAATGGACTTAGAAAGTATAAAACTTGATCTGGAGAGATGGCTCAGTGGTCAAGAGCACTGAGTGCTCTTCCGAAGGACCCAGGTTTGATTCCCAACACACCGATGGCAGCTCATGACTGTCTGTAATTCCAGTTCCAGGGGATCTGGCACCCTCACACAGACACACATGCAGGCAAAACCCCAATGTGCATAAGAAGTGAATAAATTTTTAAAAACACAAAGAAAGTATAAAACTAAGTGAGAGTTATCCATTCTCAGAAAAAAATTGCATGTTTTTCCTCATTGGGGATCTATTCTATAATATATACGTGTGTGTGTGCGCCTATAGTATAGGTATAGTAAGAACAGGAAAGGCTACTATTGGGAGACGAGGAGGGACAGAATTCAAGTAAAGTCACAAAAGGATATAAAACTATTTTTTCTAGTTTTGACTCTCTTCTTGATTTTTCTGTTTCTTGTGGTGGGTAAGTGCATAATGATGTGACTGATAATGAAAGTGTAAAATCTAGTGACAAGTTCCACAGCTTCTAATTGGCTGCTTTAACTCTGTAGTCCATTGTAGACTTTGGATCTGGGAAAATGCTATGTTAATCTCTCTGTGTGTATTTTTTTCAGTTCCTTATAACAAACGTTTTTAAAAAGGACATTGTTAGTGTTCTTAAAAAATTGTTGATTTAATTCCTTGATGGTTTCAATTATGGGGGTGTGGTGAGGATTGGGGATAGATATCCTTTTCAGGTATGAGGTGTTTTAGTCCACATCTCAAGTATGGATTCTTCTCATTTGGAAAATGCTCACAGGTGACCTTTCCCTGTGACCTCTACCCTGCGTATCTCTTGGCTCTCTGAACCCCGCTTTTAGATGAAGACTTTTCTCACAGATTTCAAATCATGGGGTCACCTGATTTTGAAGCTAGAAGCATCCTTTCCTTTTTGCGTGTTCTAAAGCACTTAAGATGCAGTTCAGGGGGTAATGGGTTATTCATCATAGTATCTGAGTTCTATTCCAAAAACCTGTGAACAACAACCAAAAAATTCAGGCACATGTCCACTTGTTATCCCAGCACCAAGAAAGCAAGTGGGTAGGTCCCAGGGCCTCACAGGCTAACCTCAGCTCGTGGGTGTGCTCCAGGCCAATGAGACACCCTGTCTCAACGTAGAATGGACAGTGCCCAAGGTTGTCTTCCACACAGGTGCTCATGTATACACACGAACATGCGTCCTCACAAAGGTAGTTCATAACAACACACATCACAATATTTAAGAGTTTGGTATGAGATTAAGTCATCTTATCTCCCATTTCTTTTCCAGCTCCAGGAGACGGTGAAAAGGAAGCTGGAAGGGGCCCGATCACCACTTAATGGGGAGCAGCAGAATGGGGCTTGCGATGGGAGCTTCTCTCCAACAAGCAAGCGCATCCGAAAGGATCTTCCCACAGGCATGGAAGCCATCAACAATTTGCCCAACAACATGCCACTGCCTTCCGCTTCACCCTGTCACCAACTTGACCTCAAGCCTTCTTTGCCCTTGCAGAACAGCGCTGCTCACACTCCTGGGCTTCTGGAAGATCTGGGTAAGAATGGCAGGCTCCCTGAGATTAAACTCCCTGTCAATGGCTGCGGGGATCTGGAGGATAGCTTTGCTATCTTGCAGAGCAAGGACCTCAAACAGGAGCCTCTTGATGACCCTGCCTGTATAGACACATCAGAAACGTCACTTTCTAATCAGAACAAGCTGTTCTCTGACATTAACCTGAATGACCAAGAGTGGCAGGAGCTAATAGACGAACTGGCCAACACAGTTCCAGAAGACGACATCCAGGACCTGTTCAATGAAGACTTTGAAGAGAAGAAGGATCCGGAATTCTCACAGACAACCATGGAGACCCCACTCTCCCACGAGAGTGCGAGCGTGAAGAGCGATGCCTCTCATTCTCCTTTTGCACACGTCTCTATGGGATCACCCCAGGCCAGACCTTCATCTTCTGGTCCTCCCTTTGCTACTGTATCCACAGCCACTAGTTTACCATCCGTGGCCAATACTCCCGTGGCTCCAAACCCTGCCAGCTCACCAGCTAACTGTGCTGTCCAGTCCCCCCAAACTCCAACGCAAGCCCATACTCCAGGTCAAGCCCCAGCTCGGCCTGGCAATGGCTATCTCCTTAATCCAATCTCGGTGACGGTATCTGGTTCAGGGTCAGGCTCAGTGGCAGTGCCCAGCTCTGACATGTCCCCAGCAGAGCAGCTCAAACAGATGGCTGCCCAGCAACAACAGAGGGCGAAACTCATGCAGCAGAAACAGCAGCAGCAGCAGCAGAAGCAGCACCAGCACAAGGATGACGCCACCCACAACACCAACACTTCA